CCATGTTCCCCAACACCAGAAGACAAATTAAGTAAGGATGAGACATCTGCCCTATTAAGTGGCATGCTTTGCTTTATACTGGTTTGTAATACTAAGCTTGGTTCTCCTACTTGCATAAACCTCCCCAGCATGGCTTTGAAGTGCAATTTTCTTCTTGTGAAAAAATTATACAAACTTTCTGTTCCTGATAGACGTGACCCACTGTGGAAAAGCTAACTAATGGCTCTACCTCATTCAGTAAAATCCTTTCCATTGATTTCACTGAAAACTGAGTCTACCCCGTAGATACCACAGTGATCTTCATTATCGCAAAAAAAGATGTGCAAAGATCTGTTTTTTACGAAGCCAGCAGATATAACCGGTAATAAATGACAAATTAACTTTAAGCCCCTTCTCAAATTTCTACTAATTAAGTATTTAACAACAATCAATCATTCATAAAAGCTAGTGCATGAAACAGAGTGCTATGTAAGCACCTTGGAAGACATTTGAATTATATATTGAATTCAGTAGAAAAGCCTTGCTTGAAATATGGTTGACTCTAACACTCAAAAATATGTGTGTGTATAGATATATGCCTATCGAGGCATTTTCTAATTACAGTAATCTGCATATTAAAGCTTGATGTCAAATGGAAACTCAGGTCTGTAGGTCTATTAATAATTAGAAGTTATTTAGAACATGGGCTGATTAAATTTTAATTGCTGCCCTTAACGATGTTGCTGCTAAAGTCTTACTATTCCCTATTCTTCTAATTGTCCTTCCCCTAAAAAGACTAACCATTTTAGAAAAGTGTTTTCTTCAAGGTGACCAAAACTATGGCTGAAAGTTGGTGATGAAAGTCTCCTGTGTTCTTCCTTACAAGTATAGAATCGTAGGGTGGGAAAGGACCATAAGAGTCATCTGATCCAACCCCTACCGTGTTTGCATGAATTTCTGGAACTAATACAACACATTTTTTATTTTAAAAAAGGAAAGAAAACCAGCATTGATTTGTGAGGACTGTGCATCTTGCTATTATATTCAATACATGTCATCAGTAGAGCGTCTGGATTAATGAACAGAAAATTGGTCTGCTTAAAAAAAAGAACAAATTGATCTGCATTGTATTCCAAGCAAAACAGAGCAAGGTTTAGCTAGTCTTCAAGACGTATTATCGTAGTCATCAAAAGAATCAATGAATAATATTCCTGGGCTTCTGTTTTGAAACGTGTGATTTGTTCCGGTGAAGGAGCATTCATTTAAATGGGACGTACCTCAATCAAAGACAAAAGCAAGGCAGCAATCTTTGTCTGTAATGAATTCTGTCCAGTGAGCTGATGAGAGTTTGCAGGCTGATTTATAGCTGTCACCACAGCTGATAAAGGTCATCACTGAATCTCATTTTTTATACTTACCTTTCGGTGGGGTTGGTGTGCAGTGTAAATGATGCTGAAAATTGTAACTTTCAGGCATAAAGCCATTTATTCCATTATATGATCATTTTCTTGAACAGCTGAATTCACCTAGGTTATTCCTCCCTCTCTTTCAACTTCCAGGAAATTGACTGATTTGCAAATAATTAAAAAAAAATCATTTTTCTCTTATTAATGATGATGAAAACACTAATCTACAGAAACAACCTTCCAGGTGAGATCATTCACAGTGGAGTGCCGAGAATGTGGGTCCAGGGTTGAAAATCTCAAGTAGGCAATGGTAGGGAATCTGAATCTGTATCAATAGATGCACGAAGGAATGGGATTTAGGTTGCAAAGTGAGGGGTCCTATCACATTATGATGAACATCCTGGTTAAACCCCCATCTCCTCAGATAAAGCTATCCCCTCCCAATGCCCTCCCACTTTTTCTCCACACTTGTTGAGAATAATGGAAATGCTTTAAGATTCTCTAATATTCAATAAGGAAGAACCACACATAGTACTTACCATTAGCTGACTACCCTCTTTGTTGGACACAACCATCTGTTGGACCTTAGTGGCCAGATCCTGTTCTACTGAAATCAGTAGCCAAACCCCTATTGACTCTAATGGAACAAGACTGGATCATAGGCAAGAGTTTGTGGTATATTTTCAAACTGGCCTATTGCCCAGGGTTTTTAAGGCATTTAGACACTTTAAAGAAGCATTTAGTGTGATTTTCAAGAGGAAGTATCCTGCTAAACTGTTTTCAGTGACATCTAACCTGCTTAGTTAGCAAAATCCTACTGAAACCTCAAAGGGATTTCACTCAAATGAACTGATTTTAATCCTGTTTCAAGTCAATTGGACTTTGGCACTGATGTTCTAAAGTTTCTTTTGAAACAAATCCCTCGTGTCTTTCAAAAGGGAGAACTTCATTTTACTGAAATATAGGAGATCACAATTAACTTGGCTGCACTCCTTCAGAGCATGACCTCCCTCTCTACAACCTCTTCTTCTAAAGAACCCCGGCAAAAACAAAACGTACCGGAAGATACAGTTCTACTAACAAAAATGTCCCTTTGCCAGTACGGCAAACTCCTTTTGAAGA